TACAGACAACGTGGAAAGAAAATAAAAGTTTGTTTTGGAAATTTTCATCTCTGAGCAATTGCAATGGGCTGTGACTTTGGAAGAGACTAGGTGGAGTGGATGGAGTCAAAGTGGGAGATGGCTCAGGTGAGTAGACTGTTCCCTCCTTGGTCCTCCATTGCATTTATAACAGGAAATTCTTTCATGGCTTTATCAACTAGATGTTTATCTTTATTTAAATAAAGGGTGCAGTTTGTGTATGTTCAATCATGGTAACGTGATAATGGAGTTCTCTGTGGGTAGGTGTGTAAGATATGAGCTATTCAAGGTTGTTTGTGAGAAATGAGTTTTGGGTACATTAGGAGTACTCCAACTCAGGTTACCAGCTCCTATTTGGAAACCCCATGGATAATCTAGTTACAAAATCAAGTTTATTTGGGTTCAACTCAATCAGTTTTCTAACTTTGCTTGTTAATAGATATAGAGACTGGTAAACAGAAAGTTACCTGGCTGGCTGGAACCTCACCCACGTTAATAGCTTAACAGCAGCATGTCAAGTCTGGTTGGACTTCTGAGTGAGTCTCAGGCCAAGGTGAATGGCAGAATCTGCAGAGAGAACAGACCAGTGTAGGGGTTTTTATTGTTGTTTCCTTTCAGCTGTCCCAGTTGGCAGTAGGTATGGTAGGTTTACCTGAACAAGGTTACTGGATGTAAAAGTCAAGTCAAGAGTAGAAAGTCAGCTCTCTGTTAACCCCCTTGGGGTTAACACTCTGGTCATTCTCCCCCCCCCCCCAACACACACACACATACACACACATGCACTTACAGAACAAGCCCCATACTCACTGTGAGGGCTGCTGTAGATGGTGACCTTGTCAGCAATAATAATCAGTATCTACCAAACCTTTCTGTGCAGAGGGCATTTCTACCCAGCCATCCCCTTAAATACACTGGTGAAACAGGAGATTATAACATTGCTTAAACACAAACAGAAACATGCTCATGTGCACATGGAGAGGGACAGAGAGATGGCTGCTCTGGTGCTTTCCTTAGGATGTTCTCCAGCCCAAGGTGCATTTCTGGGTAGTTAGAAAAAAGCAGATACTTGGTCAGAGAGAAATAAGAAACATCTTTAACTACTGGCAGCCAGACTGAGTTCTTAGAGGACTTAGGAGTGGGCTCATGGGAGCAGAATGATAAGGGGGTCCAGTCTATTTAGAAAGTACTGACCAAACTTGAACAGCACTGGCGCCCACTCCCCATCCCACCCTCTCTAGGTGCCAGAACTCCACATGCCAACTATTTATTTACTCACCTCCAAGGCTGGGCCGGTTTCAGTAGAGTAGTTAATATTTAATGCATCTTTGGATGGGTGGCCCTAACTGTAGGCTGGGCATATTTCTTAGCCCATTTCCTCCTCCCTTTAAGCCTCCAAAGGAGGTCAAGGATTAAAAGATATGGAAGTCTCACCTTGAGTGTTTTGCTTGTTTCTCAGGCTTCTTATCGGGTAGAAATACCTCAGGTTTCGATGGCCACCCTGAAATAGCACCTAAGTTTCAAAGTTGTAAATTTGGTGGAAAGAAATGAAGCATCCAGGTCTTGCCAAGCTGGGGGTGGAAGCATGGGAGAGACAATTTTTTTTTTTTTTTTTTAGTAGTCCAAACGCTAGGGTCAGAAAATTTGGTGTGGAGATGAAGGGCAGGCACCTTAGGACTCATTCAGCTTGTTTCAGGTTCAGATTCATTTCTGTGGTGATTATGCAATTCCTGGTGACATGGTCTTCTAGGGCATTGGGTGCCATTTCTTTAGTCTTTGGAAATATCTGTCTGGTTTGGGCAATAAGCTGGCCTAGAAGCATACAACTAAGCCAGATAATTTAAAGGACTTAAGGCAGGAGGTGGAAGGAGAGGATGATCTTAGGGCTTTCAGTATTTCATCAGGGGTAGCCAATGATACTTCTTCGGGTACATACTACTCTTGCATCTAGACAGTCCTGAAGATGTCCTCTGGTGGTCCTGGGATCCATAAGCTTCCCTTTGCATGTTAAAGGCCATTTCCTACTTCCTTTAGAAAGGGGTAGTGGAAAGAGCCCCAGCTTTCTCATCTGTAAAGTGAAGAAAATGTCACATGCTGACAATGTTGCAGGTTATTCGGAAGATCTAGGTAGCATATCTGTAAGCAATGGCATACTATGCTCTTATGCCGCCATACTATTCCTATTGTTTCTATCTCTTCTAGCTGTTTCAGGCACTGCTAGAGGGGATCCTGAAGTGAGAGTGTGACAGGCTTCCCTGGGAGGAAGGAGAGGCTAGCAAACCACTATAAAGTCTGAAGTGTACTTGGAAGAACAAGGGTAATAATTTTCTCTGAAAGGAAGAGGCAGCATTTGTTCACCCATTCATTGAGAATATTATATTAATTATGGTGAGTCACTTTAAATACGTACTGTCCCAAATTTACAGGTAAGAAAACTAGGACTGAAAACTAGACCCTTCGATCTACACTGGCTTCTTGAAAACAAGGCCTTTATCTTGCACAGTTTTGCACTTTTAGTGTTTCTAGGTGTTCATAAATGTTAGTTTAACTGAAAATATTGCCCAAACTAATTGAGTTTGTTATCTGGGAAATAAAATACGAAGAAAAAGTTTTCAGTAGTCAGTTAGAAGCCAAGCAAAAGACTTCTAAAAGCTCAACAGAGTAGGCATTAGAATGGATGACAAGTTTATTCATCCAAAATTGTTTGAATGCTTTTTCTATGCTTAGGCCTATGAGAGGTGGATCCCCTTTGCTGTCATGGCCTCAGTCTTCCTAGAACATTAAGAATGTGTCACTATGCCCTGAGCTTGGACAGTCATCAATGACATGTGTAGGTGGGATGACTGAACTTCATCCATGTGGCCTCTCATATTTCCTCAATGTTTGGATTTCTGGGTACTGGGGAACTAATTTCATGGAGGAGCCCTAAGAGATACCTCACCCAAAGTTGATTTCTTTAGTATCTCTGCCTCATTTCTTTGATGACTCTGGACCTTCATGAAGTACACATGTCCGGTTCACTAGGGATCTTCCCTCTTCCTTTCCCAGTGCTTTGCCCCTCCCTACCTGCCCCACTTGACCTGAACAGGAGAGAAGTTTCATGTGGCCTTGTGCTTGCCAGCTTTGTATGATTGGCAGGCTGACTCACCCAACCCAGACCAAACCTGACTCTGGCACTAGAAGTATTTGTGGCAGAAATCAAAGAGATGCCTACCCATGTATCCAAACCCAAAGCTCCCAAACCTCAAATAGAACACATTTCCTAGGATATTTTACCTAGCATGGGGGTGGCATGGGATAAGGAGAGATGGTGGAAAACACATACGGTGTTATGAGGAAAATATGGATTCAAAATCAGGCAAACTGTACTAGCTCTGCCACAGCCTTCTGCTTGACCTTGGAAATGTCTCTTAATTACAGTTGTTTTAGGATTTCATTTTAACGTAGGCGAATCATCCCTGGCCTGCCCAACTCTGGTGGAGAGTTTTCCACAAACAGTCACATGTAAGTGCTTGGTACTTCCACAGGAAAGATAAACCAAACTCACTGCCATTGAGTCAGGTCCAACTCCTTGGATTTCCAATGTGGTATCACTACCAAAGTAGATTGCCCAGTCTTCCTTCTGAAGAGTAGCTGGTGGGTTTGAACCTCCAGCCTTCTGGTTATCAGTCAAATGCCTTAGCACTGCTTTATCCAGCCACTACTATTGTCAGAACTTGACATTTTTTTCTCCTTGGAGTTGGAGTTGAGGAGGAAGCTACACAGCACATTTCTCTTGTTTGCCGCAGGCTGGGGAACCTCACTGGGAATAAGTTCAATAACAAAGAGGATGAAATACAAGAAGTTGGTTGAGTTTATGTCAACTGTTCCAGGTGCCATGAACATGTCTCCCAGGCTAGGGAGGTGATGGTAGTGGTTTGTTGTGATGATGTTGATGATGTTGACTTGGATAGCAGCTAACAGTTACTGGACTGTGCACTGTACAAAGGTTTACATGGAGTATTTCATTATATTAGTATGACAGCCATATGAGGTAGTGTAGAAAAGGAGGTTCTATAAATGGGAGACTATAGGCTTGGAGAAGGAGCAGGCCCTGTTCCTCAAGCCTATATAGTCTCCTATTTAACTAGAAACCTCCTTTACTACACTGTCGTTCTCTTTACTTCAATTTAGTTTGATCCTAGGTGGATCTTGTCTTTTTCTTATTATAAGGACAGTTGTTATTGTTGTTATGTGCCATCAAGTCGGACCTGACTCATAGCGACCCCTTCTTGGGTTTCTGAGGCAGTATCACTATGGAAGTAGATTGCCCCATCTTCCTTCCGGGGAGTGGCTGGTGGGTTTGAACCACCAGCCTTCTGGTTAGCAGTCAAGTGCCTTAGCCACTATGCTACCAGAGCTCCCATAAGGACAGTAATAGTATTCACAGTAGTAGTATTCATTAATTTATTTATAATTTGATTATACTACCAACTAAATGGTGCTAAGTGTTCCCTCATTCAATCCTCACAACTCTATTTGTTGAGAGAGGAAAGACAGACTCAAAGATTAATTTGCCTCAAGTTGCATAACTGTTAGTGACTGAACTGGGATTTGAACCCAAATCCAACTACCTCCAGAACTTAAGCTATTAACTCCCTCATTAGAGAAAAAAAATGACTAAGAGAAATGACGGGATCTCCTTTCTGACTAGATTGCCTCTTCACACCTGAGTCTTCTATTCTGCATGTGTTTGAACCAGTTTATGTGTCCTTCCATTCAGGCCAGTGGCTCAGATAATGTCTGTTTGCCCCCTTTCAGCTCTCTGCTTTCTTGGTGTCCCTGCCGCCATACTGCTCCAAGGCCTGGGCAGAGCCTTGTGGAAAGCCTTGGCTCACACGTGGCTTTGATTGTTCTCTTTTCAGGCCCCGCCTGGGACATTCTTCGCTTCTCTTCGCTTCCCCTCTGGGAGCCCCTTCCACCGCTCCTGCACCTTGCTTCAGGCGATGCCCGAGAGGGAGCTGTGGCCAGCAGGGCCGGGCTCGGAACCCGTGACCCGAATCGGCAGCTGTGACAGCATGACGAGCACCACCTCCACCCACTCGGGATTTGTACGTACTCTGTCCTGCAGCTTTGCCTGCTCTGCACACCTGCCCTGCCCTGTTCCGCCACTCTGCCCTTGCTCACTGCACCTTCTCTTTCATCTTCCTTCTCAGAGAGTGAATCACACAATTGGGGCTTTCTTCCTCTGAGTCACTCCTTATTCTACAGAGAACAGGGTGAGTGGCACCACCTCAGAGAGCAATGGCACAAATGAGACTTTTTTTCCCTCCAATTTTCATTAAGTTAGGGGGGTGAGTGGAAATGAGAGGGCAAGGTAGTGATCTGAGGTCGTGGTGGAAACTGAACTAGGTCCTTGTAGCACATGGATTCCTGAAGTTTTCTGCAATAAATAGCTTTACTACAGTCTTACGCAAAGATCGGAAAGAGTGGAGTAATTAAGAGCCTGTGTTCAGGAGTCAAACAGAACTGGGTTCCCTACTTATAAGCTATATGCCCTGAAACAAATTACTTAATTATCTCTAAGCTTCAGTCTCTTCAGTGTTAAAATGGGGATAATATTAATGTCTCATTCATAGGGCTCTTGGAGGAGTGCTTATTGAAAGTACTTGGTACATTCTTCTATGTAGAAAAGAAATGATCTATCTATGAACACAAATTGAGATTCTTTCAACCTGTGTTTAACCATTTGTGAGTGATGTTTAATAAATTGTAACTTTCCTGGGCATGCATTTGAATCTCAGATATTTTAAAATCTTAAAAGAGCAAATCTGCCAAAATCCACATTTAAACTTTACTTTGCTGTTCATACAGACCAACTCTTGAGAATTTATACTTTATCACTTTATATTCTATAGAGGTATTTGAAGATTGAAGGATTATAAAGGTCTCTACTGAATGTTAAGGATTTTTAATATTGTCAATGAATTGTAATCTGGAAAAATGGAGTAGAAAAAGCAACACACACATAACAATCCAAAGAGCAGACAATTTTCATACAATTTCTTTTTGATCCTAAATGATGGGGCCACAGGGTCTTCTTCTTATTTCAATTAGTCTGAAGTCAACCTGAATAGTCATATACCATTGACACAGATTGTGGCAGGGATTAAAGGTTTTCAGGAAGAAGAGGGCAGTTGAAAGACCATTTTTGTTCAGGGAACTTCTGGAATTGTCTAAGGGCCTTCTAGATCTGTTTTTGAGGTGTGGGCCTCAGTCAGTCAACAGACAGGTGTATCTCTAAGGGGCTGGAAGATAACCCCACACCTTCTTCCGTCAACTCCCAGAATATTTTTAGGGCTGTCTCAAAATCTTTCCTTGCTATCTAAGTGGGTCTGGCAAATAGAAAACTCTGAGGTGTCCCATATATTAGGAAGAGAGGCAGCGATGACAGGAAGGGATGCAAACCAAATTTCTTACATTCCCACTTTGCTATTTGAGTTTGCCTTTAATCTCCTTGGAGAACAGCCAATCCATGGTTCTTCCTGGACTGGTGGAGCATGGACAGTACCCCTTAGGCACGCACTTGCACACACTCACTGCTGTGGAGTCGGATCAGACTCAGAGACTCCTTGGGTTTCTGAGGTGGTATCACTACGGAAGTAGATTGTCCAACCTTCCTTCCAAGGAGTGGCTGGTGGGTTTGAACCACCAGCCTTCTGGTTAGCAGTCAAATGCCTTAGGCACTATGCCACCAGAGCTCTTACCCCTTAGGTAGCCATTGTCTTTTCTTCCAAATATCTCTATCTACTCATAATGAAAAGTATTGACTTGATGTGTGTGTGTATGTGTGTGTATATTCAACATTTAGTTGCTTTCTCCTCCCTCTATACCCATCTGGTTTCTCCACACACCCTTAAGTTAATATTTGCTTAAGAAATTCCTACTCATGTGAATGTTAGCCAGAATCAAATACCATCAAGAAAGTAAATATGCAAGGGCAAAAAATTCCAGTATGGAATTCATTTCAAAGGCAAGTATAAATTATTTAGCAAATTTATCTGTGGCTAGTCATGCCACTGTTGCCTCTAGCCTGGCAGCCAGTCCTTGACTGCATTTCTTGTTTGTCCTCATACTGTGCTTGACACACCAGATCAAGTAAGCAAAAGTACTTTGAAAAATTAAAAGCAACACCATTCAAGTTGACTTCCATCTCATGACAACCCCATATGTATCACCCATATATTTTGGAGCTAAAATGGAGAGAGACAAAGCGAAATACTTGACAATGATCATATAGAGAAATTGGGACTAAAATATGGGACTGCTCCTGATTTATGCCCCCCACCTTTCCACCCAGGACTGAACAAAAGAAAAGTCATTTGCTGGCTTTCCACCTAGCTACCAGAGCCGGGTGCTAGCAAGACAGCCCAACAGTCCCTACTACCCTCCCCAGGTGCCTGCAGTATAAGAAGCAATTCCAGCAGGTTTGCAGAGTAGCACTGTGGAGAGGTTTCCAGCTCTTCAGCATTCCTTCCTACAGAGGGGTGGTTCTCAGGCCCCACCAGTTTCTGCACAGCTACAGGCTTCCTCTCACAGCTCCCTCTCTCTGTTGTTCTTCCCCCCCATGGATTGCAGAGTGACAGCAACTACGACTTCCTGTCTGCTGAAGAGAAAGAGTGTCTGCTCTTCCTGGAGGAGACCATTGGCTCATTGGACACTGAGGCTGACAGCGGACTGTCCACTGATGAGTCTGAGCCGACCACAACTCCCCAAGCTTCTTGGGCACAGCCCACAACCCAGCCTGTTCCCCAGGGTAAGAGACGCTATCTGGGCTAGCACCTCCAGCCAAACCCAGGATAACTGTGTGCCCCTCCACCCTTCCAGCCACTCTCCACCTTACTTGCTCTCCGCTCCAAGGGTCACAGACAGAGCAAGAAGCAACTGCAGTAGAATAAAACCTTGTCCCTGGAGAGAGGGAAGTACTGCTGACATGCCAGTTTTCGCTGTCTTTCTATGAAGTATCAGAGGTCTGGGTGGAGAAAGGGTTTGACCAGCTCCCATCCTCTCAGGACAGATTCTAAAGGGATATAATCCCCAAAGGTCAGGAAGGGAAGTAAGTAAGGATGGGTTGGTGGCTGGCTCTGGAGAGACTGAGTCAGTCTGGGAGTTAATCTAGAAGACCCAGAGGAGGAGGCTACAGGAAATAAGGAGATGAGAGAAGGGCTCCCTTAACTGCAGTTGGTGTGACCTTAATGACCTTCTGAGAGCATAGAGAGCCAATGGCTCAGTAGAAGCAATAATCATGAGGCCATGTGTCTCAGGGAGTGGGGCACTTTACGCTTGAGGGCAGTACCACTTGTATCAGGACTGCAATAATTTAGTCATTCATTTGTTGTTATTGTTGCTATGTGCCGTTGAGTCAGGCCCGACACATAGTGACCCCTCCTTGGGTTTCTGAGGCAGTATCACTACGGAAGTAGATTGCCCAACCTTCCTTCCAAGGAGTGGCTGGAGGATTTGGACCACCAGCCTTCTGGTGGCAGTCAAGTGTCTTAGCCACTATGCTACCAGAGCAGGCATTTATTGACAGTGTATCAGATCCTCCCTGGAGATAGAACAGTAAGTGGGACAATGGGCTTCTCTGCCCTTTGAGGCTGATTCACTGCCCACTGGACCTGAGATACCTGCCTAGTTTGCTGGGAGGAAAGAGCCCATGCTATGCTCTGAGGCAGGGACAACTGTGGCTATTATAAAACCATCCAGGTGCATATAGACAGCAAAGGTGGAAGAAGGCAGAAGCCAGGTCAAATCAAGACCAAATCACCTGCTCATGTGTTCCCATTGGACTCAGTTATGTGACAGCCTTGTGGTAGCTAGAAGGACTAGTACCATCTGTCCCCAGCCCTGGCATACCTGTAAGGGCTTGGGAAGAACCCTTGTCAAGGGTGTGGAGCAACCTGGGGTTAGCTTCTTCACAGCCACCATTAAAAAATTAATCATTGGTGGAAGGAAATCTGTTATTATTTATCTATCAGTCTAAACAACTTCCAGAAAAGAGTGTACCCCTCTAAGAGAAAAGAAAAAAAACAATCCATTGCTAGTTGGAGATCAGAGTTCAGGGAGTATTTGCTTTCCCCTCTGCAGCAGGATTCTCACCTCTGTCTACTGTTCTTTGTTTGTCTTCCTTGACTCTCACCGCATATCCAGAGGAGACAACCATTCAGCAAGCACCAGAGCCAAGGAGAGAGACTCTGTCCAACTCATCCCAAACCTCAGATCCCCAAGGCCTGGGCTTCAGGTCTGGCTACCACAGCCTCCCCAGAAATATCCATAGTGGCAGAAACCTGAAGTCCAGGAAGAGTACTGCCCAGGCCAACAGCCACCTCCCTGGAGGATCTAAGGAGCTTGAACCAGAGCCTGAGAGCAAGGGGGCCAGCCAGAGCAGTGAGCACAACCTGACACCCATCAGCCCCCAGGAAGCCACTCTTGACTTGGAGGTAGTGCTCATTCCCCCACCAGAGCCCTTCCGGGACACCCGACCGGAGCTGTGTGGGGAAAACAGCTTGCCCAAGGGGCCAGGGCAACCGAGCAGCACACCCCAACTCCGTATGTCCTCCAGTCCCCAAAAGAAAGTGGAGGCTTCTTCAGAAGTCATGTCCCAAAAAGCCAATGAGAAAGGCTCAGAAGGTGGTCCAGGACAGCCCCAGCCTCCTCCTGCCTTGTCATCTCCAAATACTAGAGCTGAAGATGCTCCCCTCCCATCTGGGAGGGATCCAAATGCCCATCTGGGCCACACAGCCCCTAAGTCCCGGAAGCTGCCACCTAATATTGTTCTGAAGAGCAGCCGAAGCAGTTTCCACAGTGGTCCCCAGAACTGGCTGTCCCGCCATTCTGAGGTGACCCCGAGAGAGTCTGGCCTGGTCTCCTCTTCACTGCAGGAGCAGAGGAAAGCACGCAGAGAAGCATTGGAGAAGCTGGGGCTACCCCAGGACCAAGATGATTCCAACCTCCACTTAAATAAGCCTACCAGCTCTCTCAGACTCAAGGACCCTCCTGCTCGGGCCACAGCCCTAGCTCCAGCTCCAGCTCTGGCTCAGCCTACAGTTCCATCTCAGGTCTCAGCACCTGTTCCTGCTTCAGGAAAGCCTCCGGCTCTGGCTCCACCTCTAGCTTGGGGACTTTCTCCAGTGAAGGCTCAGGCCCCTGCTCTAGCTCAGGGGTCCTCTCCAGGGAAAGTTTCGAATCCTGCTCAGGAACCCTCTCCAGGGAAGGATTCAGCTGCCAAATCCATGCCAATTCCCATCCCTAAGGCCACTAAGGCAAATAGTCCCCTGACTCTGCCAAAGCCTGACTTAGGGTTGACCCTCCAGGAGAGCAACATCCCTGGACTGAGACAGATGAATTTCAAGTCCAAAACTCTGGAGCGTTCAGGCATTGGGCTGAGCAGCTACCTTTCAGCCAAGAAAGACCTCAGCCCCAAAACCAGCTCATCTCTGGAAAAGGGTTCTGTCTTGGACAAGATCTCGCCCAGCGTCTTGCGTAATTCCCGGCCCCGCCCTGCCTCCTTGGGCACAGGGAAGGATTTTGCAGGTATCCCAGTGGGCAAGCTGGCTGACCTGGAACAGGAGCAGAACTCCAAGGGCCTCTCCTTCTCCGGACAGAGCCGTGACAAGCTGCCTCGACCTCCCTGTGTAAGTGTCAAGATCTCCCCAAAGGGCATCCCTGATGAACACAGAAGAGAGGCTCTGAAGAAGCTGGGACTGTTGAAGGAGTAGGCCCTGGCTACCAGCACTACTAGTGCCCACCACTGTACAAGAAGAGACTCCAGGCTCCGCTTAGAAGCCTCTCTCAACTCAGGGGTTGGAAAAGAGTGGGATTCTCTCAAAGTCCCTCTTCTCTGTGAGGTGAAGGACAGAGGTTTGAGTCAAGCATGTGTTTATATTCAAAGAGGTTGTCCCAGTGAGTGACCTCATGAACTCATCCTGAAGTTGATTTCCACAAGAGGTGTGTGTGTGTGAGTGTGAGAGACTGTGTGTATGTATGTGTGTGCGCATTATAGCTATATATTTTCTTGACACTATTTATATAATGCAAAGAGCTCAGAATTCTGCTCTTACTGGAGATTTTCTTACTTTGAGTTGACTTCATTCTAGCCAGAACTGAGTGGGGAGGGATGGTTAAACATGAGGCAAAAAATTAAATTGATGTGTCAGTGATGTGAAGAAAGTAGTTACAAATGTTGAGCCACATTAAATGAGGGTCTCCTAGAACCCCTTCAATGGGCTTCTCACCTTCTGGACAGATAGCCTGAGACTAAAACAGATTGGTTTGTTATCTCTTCATCCACTGCCTTCTCCCCTCTGCCTGTCTCTAGTACCAAGGACAGACCATGTCCACATAACTAAACCTCTTGGCTGATTGGTAACAGAACAGTGCTTGTTGGTCTGAGAAGGCAGGACCCCATACACATACTTCCATCTCCACTCAGAGTCCTTGTCCACGGGCTGGGTAAATTCAGTAATAAAATGTTCTGTGGTCTCTGACTCCTAGTCTTCCTGCTCTGTTTTTCCCAGCTTACTGTGTACGTGATTGACCCCTGGGGTTGGCCAACAGTGACATAGGAGTCTGTTCTGGTTACCTAGTGCCACTCTGACAAGCATATATACCACAAATGGAATGGCCTTAACAAACAGGAGTTTATTCTTACAATTTGGAGGCTTTAAGTCCAAGTTCAAAAGTGCCAGGCTCTAAGGGCTGGGTGAAAGCCCCTCAGCCTTGGGGTCCAGCTCTGCCTCCTGCTCCTGGCCCACTGGAGCTAGAGGCTTTTCTTCACTCAGACAGCTGCTGGCTGCTGAGGCTGAGAAGCCCCAAGGGTGACAAGTAAAAAGCCACAGTCCCGATGTTACCAAAGCACACAGCAGGCCATTAACTTAAGTCCATTGTAAGTCCCAACATCGGCAGAGCACAGCAGACTGTTGAGCTACATGCAGGGTCCAAGCGTGCCATAGGCTAGAGACCATTCCCAAGGCTTCTCTTTATATACAGGAAGCAGACCACATCCCAAAGACAGCTACTCAGCTTCTTGTGGTAGATCCCACCATGGAGTTGATTGCCAGTCTCATCATGGAGATAACTACCACCAGCTGCCCAGCCACTCAACCAGGCCCAGCCAAATCGACACACAAACATTAACTACCACAGAACCCCAGCCTAGAAGCTTTATGTATACAGAAACACTGTTCCAGGTCTTGCTCACTCTTTTGCAGGTGTTTTTTTACATTTCTTCAGCCTCTGTGGTGGAAAATCAACACAACACATTCTCTGCTGGTTATTCATTGACTCTCAGAGCTGGAAGGGGCTTTAGAGACATTCCTGTCCAATCCTGTTGAGAAAGGAAGTGGTTCATCCCTGGTGACTCTGTCATTTAGTATCAGAGCTGAGGCTGGAACCTGGGCTTCTGATGCCCATGGCATGCTGTACCTGCTCCCACCCCTCAACTACTGCTTTTGTAGGTACACACCAAACCCTAAGAATCAGAAGTCATTATAAAAGACTTAATCCGAATGCCCGTCAAGGTCCTAACATAGTTTCTGACGAATGAGAAATTAAATGTTGTTCAGGATAATATTTAGTGTTGTGTGTTTTTTAATTCAGTCTTTGGAAAGTAACAATATGATATTAACCAGAAGACCCCTCCCCCCAAATTCCTTAAGTTATACAACTTGAGAAAATGCCAAAAATGGGTAATGTGGGTGGGTAGTGTGGGCTTGTGAATATAGACTTGGGGATCAGACATGGCTAGTCATGGCCCAGCTTCCCCTGAGGAAATAAGTCTTATTTATGTTTGTGACCTGGTTGGAGTCCAGGATTTCCAGATGTGAGGGTCAGATAAAGGGGATAGTTGTTGGAAAGAAGTATTTTAGATCTGCTGAACATTCCTGTGCCGTGTCCTTAGGGACTCCATATTTCTGAAAATGATGAGAAGGTTAAGGTAAGGACAACAAATGGCTCCACCTTGTTGTGGTCTGAGGGGTGTTGGTGTGATAGTTTCCATGTACATTCTTTCACACTCACACCCAAAAGACTGGTGCCTTATTCCTGACCTTTAGGGGAGGACCTGATCTGTCATAGCTGATGGGGACATCCACAACTAGCCAAACTATGTTTTTAAAGATTTGCTGAAGAAAGAAGGCATACTTCTGGAGAACTGATTCGATTATATGTGCTTGAGCTGTTTCCAGAATGTATTTCAAGACACTACCTGAGGTGAAATCACTTTTTACTTTAGTCATTAATTTCCTAATTAATAGGGAAACCTCAGACTAGCTATAAAGCAATACTTGATAGGAATCTGGGACCCTCGCAATACACAAGGCCCAGGCTGGTCAGGAGTAACCAACCAGCTGCCATTGAGTTGATCCCAAATCATAATGACCCCGTGGGTGTCAGAATTGAACTGTGTCCATAAAGCTTTCAATGGCTGATTTTTCAGAAATGGATCACCAGGACATTCTTCAAGGCACCTCTAGGTGGACTTGAACCTCTAAACTTTTGGTTAGCAGCCACGCAGTAACCATTTGCACCATCTAGGGAATCCTGGTGAGGAGTACCTCCAGTTCAATCTTCACACCCTGGTAAGGGTAGTTTCTCTCCCATACAAAACATAGCTACACCCAGCCTGCATCTTCCCACTCTATATTCTCCTCCCTGTGAAGAGCCCATTTTCCAACTCTGATCTGATAGTACTATTTCCTTGTTATTTAAAAATAGTGTAGTAGTTAAGGAAGATGGGGCAATCTACTTTCATAGTGATACTGCCTCAGAAACCAAAGGAGGGGTCGCTATGAGTGGGAACCGACTTGATGGCAGTGAGTTTGGATTTTTTTTGGTAGTAGTGAAGAAACTCTGGTGGCACAGTGCTTAAGGCATTTGACTGCTAATAGAATGTTGGTGGTTCAAACCCACCAGCTGCTCCACAGAAGGAAGATGAAGCAATCTGCTTCTGTAAAGATTTATAGCCTTGGAAACCCAGTGGGGGTTGCTATGAATAGGAATTGACTTGATGGCAGTGAGTTTGGGTTTGGTAGCAGCTGAAGGTGTGTGTCAAATTGGCTGGGCTGTGGTTTTGAGTGGCTGGGCAGCTGAATGTACTTATTCCCCATGATGAGATTGTAATCACCTCTATGTGGAATCTACTTCTTGTTGTTATTATGTGCCGTGGAGTCTGACCCAATTCATAACGACCCCTCCTTGGGTTTCTGAGGCAGTATCACTACGGAAGTAGAGTGCCCCATCTTCCTTCCAAGGAGTGGCTGGTGGGTTTGAACCACCAGCCTTCTGGTTAGCAGTCAAATGCTTTAGGCACTACGCCACCAGAGCTCCCATGGTGGAATCTACTATAAGATGTTAATCAGTGGAAAGGGAGCTGCATTTGGGGTGTGGCCTGCTTCCAGTATATTCCAGTATATAAGGAGACGCTTTGGAAAGGTCATTAGCTTTTGGCACATCTGGACCCTGCATTTGGTCAAGTGTTCATCTCAGTGGCCTGCAGTGTTGCCTGCTGATCCTGGAATTGTTCCTAGACTTGAACCAGTGGCCTGCTGTGTGCCTGTTGATCTTGGGATTGTGCCATTCTACTTGCCAACCTTGGGTTCATCAGCCTCAGCATCCAGCAGCTACCTGAGTTAGGAGACACCTCTAGCTCCAGTGGGCCTGGAATAAGAGGCAGAGCTGAAGTCCAAGGTCAAGGGGCCTTCTTCCAGCCCCTAGAGCTGGCACTCTGAATTTGGACTTCTAGACTAAACTATATGAGAATAAATTCCTGTTTGTTAAGCCATCTATTTGTGCTATGTCTGTTGTAGCAGCACTAGAGAATCAAGGCAGATACCATGTTTCCCCATATTCTCATCCTTCAGACAAAGAGCATGTTCTGCTCTAAGGATATTCTTCTAGATTGAAGAATAGAATAATAAATCCAAATCTACTTGTCTTTAATTGGAAGAGGGGCAAGGGGGAAGTAGGTGGACATCCAACTGCCTGAAGATGAACTAGACTCCCCTAAGGTAATTTATCTATCCTCTGGAAACCACATAGAATTCCTCTTCATCTAGCTTGATCTGATTGGTGACAGGAGAGTGGGGTCAGAGTTTATTATCCCTTCTTGAAGCGTTCTGGGTAGAAGTCTGTGAAGGCCACTCATTTAATTTTAAAAATCAAAGAACCAACTCGATTTCCACTTACGTTCTGGTCTCTGCTATACCCTGCCTTAGTCTTGCTTCCATTTGGCACAGACCATCTGCCAAATACAGGAGCTAGTCTCTCCCCAGCCTGGCACAGTGGAGTCCGTGCCCTCAGTTGTGTTGACAGCTGTTCTGTTGAATCACTACTCTTATGCTACCCTGGTAGTTCTGTACTCAGATAGGCCTACATACTCCCCTACAGGGAGGCTGGGACAGGCCCAACTATCTCTTAGGTGCCTTCTTCAACAGTGGGAAGTGTGGTCTGGTAGAGATCAGCATGTAATCCGGGAGGTGGGCAAGTGTACGAAAGTTGGTGTTTGTTCCATGGAAGGAAGGATAAATGAAAGACTGAAAAGCAGGCCCTGTTGGTTATTGTGATTAGAGCTGGAGGTGAAGATTTGAGAGTCTACAGTACATGTAAGTGTGTGACATGAACCATTCCATCTCTTGATTCATGATTGTACATCTAGGCAGAGAAGGATCATACTGTCAGAATAGGAGGCTATAGGCTGACAGACTAGTTGAGGTGGGGACCA